GATAATACATAATATTCTGAGACTGATTTAAATTTGGAAGGAAGGATTTTAGTATTCCTTCAACAGTATTTTCAAAACTCAGTTTTGATAAATCTGTTTTTTTTTTTTTTTCCTTTCCTTCTGTAGACGTTGTGCCAGTTTTGTATTTTGAAAAGTCTTTTGTCTCATTTATTTCCAGTGGCTATAAATGGTACAAAATGTTTTGAATTTCCCAACTTTTGACTTGATAGAGGTTTTTTTAGTTCTTGGTCATGACAGAAAAGACATGATTTACCTTCTCTGTGCCATTCATTAGTATGCTTTCAATATGTCCCCCTCTTGTTCATCTGCCTTCTAGGGTAAATAATCTTAGTCTTTTCAGAGCATTCAAACAGACTAATTGTTATTCACTATATCTCATTAATCACCTAACACTTTTTTCCCCCTCTTTTCTGGCAGTTGCAGATTTTGCTGAGGTTTCATTGTGGTTTTTTAGGTCCTGCTCTTGACTTAAAAGGTGCAAATTTTTTACTTTGATGTACATTACTTCACAACTGTCAACAATTAATCTCTTGTCCATTCGCATAGCTTCTTCTGATGTCTCAGCGTATCATCACGGTCTTCCTTTGTCGTAAGTTAAATACTCTTGCTGCCATTTCACTGCTCCTGGACCTCCCAAAGCATTAGTAGACAATTAAATAACTAGAGGTATAGTACAGAACATGAGACCTTCAATAGTTAGCCTTTTGTTACACAGCAAATTGACCTGAATGCTGTAGTCAACTTTCTGCTACACAGATTTTTACCCCTGCAGTGTATGTCTTCCTAACCATTTGGCTTCCTTAGTAGCTTCTCATGAAAAAAGTTATCATAGGCCCTTTCTAACTGGAGTTACCCTGTGTCAAGCAGCTTTCCTTAGCTACTGTGATACTGGCACAGACATGATGAATCACAAGAAATTAAGTGAGGTACAATTTCCTATTACTTGAACCAGTTTACCAAATTCAGATGGTCAGACATATGATGGATGATACAAGGCTCTAATTCCCTGATCATTCTGAGATGTCACTTATGCACTGAAGAGGTGATATTCACTTGGCCTGACTGCTTTGGAACAGTACCTTTCTCAGGTAAGAGCTTGCCTTTTGCCAGCAGCCTAGCTGCTAGGCCTTCTGAACTCTTGGTGTAATGTCATCATCTGTTCCTGATGACTCATTGTTTTTATAATTACCAGTTTGCTCAAGAACCTTTCCCCCTGACACCTCAATTTCCCAAAGTGTATCATCTTTATTAGCAAAGAGGAAGGAGCTTGGGTCCTGGTTCCCACCTACAAATCTCTATTAAATGCCTGGGAACATTAGGCTTTAAAGCATGCCCTGAAGGTCATGATATTTTTGAATGAAACCAGATTTAGGGATATGAAAATACACCACAAATAGCATTACATTTCCCCTCAAATTCTGTAATTGGTCCTTTTTGTCACCTTAGTGAAAGTAGAGCAGTACATCTAGTCTTTTTTTCCTACTCTGTTGTCAATTTTCCAGTTTATATGGTAAATAAATTGGTAACTGGTCCCAAAAAAAAGTTTGTGGATAGGTCCAAGATTTGGTCTCATTTGTCAGTCAAGAGAAAATTAAATTTTTGGTTGAAAAATCACAGTGTTCCCACATAAAATGTTATATTGAAGTAACAGAGAGTTCACCTTCCACTCCATTTTCATCCTACACTCCTCTGAAATTCTTCCTTCTGTGTTTAACTTGCTTCTTATATGTGTGTTGAGTACTTATTTAAGTATTTTTCCACCTATGAAATTCTTTGCAGGAATTTAAAAAAAAATGTGAAAAAACCCCTAGTGAATGGGATTTGAAAAGTGTCAAGCTTCTAGTCCAGAGAGGGCAGTACATGGTACCATTAAGGATAACAAGAAGAAGAATTCTCTTATGGGGACTCTAATAAATGTAGTCGCATGCTGTAATAAAGAGCACATGAAAATGGATGTGGTATAACAAAATTATTCATAAAGAGAAATGCTAAAGGTTGTCATGCTGAGTGGTTACATGTAGTTATATGGAGCACTAACAAGGTTATCACTAGAAGCTGAGTGCTGGGGTGCTCACAGATGTTTTCTAACTAACACAGAGAGTAAACTGTTTTTATCTTGGAGGATACAGACAAGGATGGAGTTGAAGAGGTGCTAAATCTTTCTACTGATTGTTAATAATTCAGAGCCAAATGGCAATAACAGCTCATGTAGGTCAGTGTAACAAACAAAGCAACTTCACTTCAAGATGTTTGATGGAAGGTTTTCAGGCCAAATTCTTTACTGCTGCTGTCTCCTGGATTCTTTTTGATACAACATTATCATATTGAATCCTGTGCTTTATAAATAAACAACTAAATGTGTGCATGCATATGTGTGCATGCACACACAAGTGTTAATGAAATATAGCAAACTGAAATACTCATGGAAAAGGCTTATTGTGGAAGAAAGGAGCTCTTGCTAAGCAGCTACTGTAACGTTAGAAAACCAGAGACTGAAACTCTGCTCACATTCCAGAAGTACAGAATTTCTAGGAAGTGCAGTAATTCAGAGAGTTGGCTAAGCGTTGTTCCAGCAACTCACTGAGCTAAAACATCATTTACCCGCAACATCAATATGATCTGAGTTTTATACTATCATTTAAACAGCAACAGATTTACAGCATAGACTCACGATATGGCTGTAACTAATACTGTAACAAAATCAATAGACAAATGTTTTAGCAAAGGGCAGTCGCTGCTGTTTTCACTGATGTGTGTTTGTGTGCATAGCACAGTCACACCCATGTGTTTTAAATTCAGCTCATAGGAAGGAGTTTTAAGCTCAGGGATTTAAAGCATTCAGACTTCTTCAGACCAAAATCATATCAAGACACGGCTAGGAGTATCGGTGGCCATGTCTAGAGCCAATAAAAATCTGTAGAAGTGTTTTTCTACTGAAATTGGCCTTTGGGGATTTTCCTTTAAGATTACATTTTAATTGAAGTAGTGAGCCGGTTCTGCATGTGGTGGAAGTAAGAAGGCCACTAACATTAGAGTTCCTCGCAGAGCTCTGCAGATTTTGCCAGGTTAGTTAAGACGTTTGTATTGGACTCAGCCTTCAAGCTGTGGAATGATGAAACACTCTGTACTGTTTCATCAGTGCCTCTCATCTTCAGAAGTTGATTTTAGGCAAGCTATTAGTGGTCATGGTGCTCAGCTGGGATAGTAGCTATTTGCTTTCACATTTAAAGTATTTACATCAATCATCATAAGCATTTTGTCACCTCATGACATCCTGGATTTAAAAATACATATATAGAAATAGGAAGAAAGGTGAAAGCTGAAAGGATGGACAGAGTCTCTGTGGCTTGCAGCAGAAAGAGGTCTGTGTAAATATCAAGCATAAAAATTATAACTTGGAGCATTTACCTCCAGAAGTTACAACGTGCTGAATACCTTTGATCCACACAGCTCAATCATTAAAGTTACTAAATAGGTTTTTCTTCATATATATGCCTTTTACCCTGCATTTATGGGCTTAGAATACCAGCCTAGAAATAAAGACTTACATTGATTTTTATTTTTAAATTAACATAAGCTCTAGTAGTCAAAGCCTATTTCATGAGAGACGGGTTGTCTTTTTCTTTTATTTTTTTCCCCAGATTAGCTGTCCAGAAACAGAGTCAGAAATAGAAATAATTAAGCAAATTTAAGAATTAAAATGTTCTTCCCTCACCTTAACAAAGAATTGCTAAGAACAGTTTTTATATGAAATAGGGGGTAAATTGATTTGATTTGCTTCTCAACGGAGAGTGTTCATGCATGCAGTTTGAGAGGAGCAGGCAATACGAGGAAGGTGATTTAAACTGATGTATTTTAGTCCACCTTTAGGACTAGCTGAAGGCACATGCGTGATCTGTTTCTGTTGTTCAGCTGACAAGCAGTAAGTTAAGAAGTTACAGGACCACAACCACTTTTAAGCATGAGCCTGTATACTATGATATTAATCTGAGGCCCTCTTCTAATTGTCAAAAGTAATAAGTTTGTTCACGTGGTAAAGGTATCACTTATTGGTGTAGGACAAAAGGGTTAATGAATAAGTGGTGCCAAAAACCAAAACCACGTGTTGCATTCGGAAACATTTCCGCAATAGTATGTCATTGTTAGGGTGAGGAAATGTCACGTGCAGCTTCAGACTATTTATACTGCCTAAAATCAATTTTGAAAAATGTAAGCACTGGCCACAGTGGGGCCCTAGCAAGGATTTGAAATAAACCTCCCAGGAGGAGGATGTAATTATTTTCTCTTAATATCTAAAATATCAGGTTTAAAGGGAGAAGGTAAAAGCATTCATTCAACACAAGTGCCTCAGTGTGTTTATTGAATGGAATCACACAGCCTGGAGGCCAGCTCTGTGCTGCCTCACATGCCTGCGTTCCCACTAATTTTGCTGGGATTAGAGGGGGTGTAAATGAGCACAGAATTTAGCCACGGGATTCTAAATCCACTTTGGCTGAGAAACCAAGTGTGGGCATGTGTACACCTACATGCACAGACACACACGGTCCGACTCTCACCCCTGCAGGTGGAGGTTGCTGTGGTATGCTTGTGGGGTGGCGTCCCTATGGCAAGAATGCCAAAAATCTTTTTAATCTTTTTCACCTCACAGAAGTTATAGCCAGCCTTGACAGTGGCATTTTTGTCTCCAAAATATATTGCTATTTTAAAAACTAGCCAAATGCACTTAGTTTAAGAAATCTGTACTGCCCTGGTACTTTTCATTGAATTTGTGAGCTTCCACCTGTCAATCATCTTGATCATGTTTAAATGAGACATCCACATACCACCTTCTTTGAGTAGCAGCTTATGAGCACGGGCAGCTGAACAGGGAGAACCCATAAACCCTTTGCACTGCTGAAAGATAACTGTGTGTCTTTCATTCAGGAAGATACACTCATGGAGACTGCTATTAAGAAGACATTCTTCTTTCCAGTTACAGAGACAGATGCAGAGCTGAACTCTTGGCATTCAGGTGTGAAACCAAAGTGGAAGTCCCAAACAGAGAGGTTCTTCGGCTGCTCTGGAGCTCTGCAAGGGCTGAAGGTAGAAGGTCAGAGTGAGACTTTCCATTTTAAGAGGTATCATAGTGTCTTATCCCATAGTGATAAGTACGTGATCTTGCAAAGTAGTGAAAATTGCTTGAAAATTACTTCTGTTGCTCTTTGCCATCATTAGTAGAGAATTTGCATTCCCCCAGCACTCAGGAGAATCAGCAAGTGTAGGATGTGGCCATCTGTGTGACGTTAGGACCATGTACAAAATGAGAGCCAAGGTCTGAATTCAAATATCAGAGATATCCAGGTGACTGGAATTCAGGCACCATGTTTTACTGTGGACCCATCTCTGATTTTTACTCAGATATAGTAGAGGTAGAACAAAACAAGCCAGGTCTGCCCAAGAGAGGAGATTTAAAAGCAAAGATGTGAGATCTACAGGAAGGATTGCTGCTATCTCTGGGCCATATTGTGTCATTGATTTTTAGGCTGATCTCTTAACTGATTCCAATTGGGACTTAGACTTAAAAATTGATGATACAGTTTGGCCCTGTGTGATGAAGAGTAACGGCTCAGGATTGCTCACAGATCCAGTGATGTAAATCCTGAGTCACACCACTCAGCTGGAGTTAGGTCACTGGAGCTGGAAGAACTCAGAGCCCGTTACTGTGGGGTAAGGGAGAGTGTGGACCCACAGCACATCACCTGCTTCAGAGGGTCAGCCCATCTGCACCCTCTTGCCCCTCAGCTAATCAGATAATTCAAGGCAGTTTACCTCTCTATGAAAGAAAGATAAACAACCTTGAAGTAACCAGACGATAAAAGCACGCACACAGGCAATTACCGGAGAGCAGCTGATGCACTGTTAAGTTCACACCCTGGGTTACCCTATGGTAACTTGTTTGTAGGCTGATTCTCTCTGAACGCAGTACTGGAGAGCAGACTGCAGCCCTTTACGTCACCCTAATGACCACTACTCAGAAATTTTTTGCAGCCTGTTAAGCTCTTTCAAGAAAAAGGAAGAGGGATGAGCTAAAAAAAAAGTCTTCCTTTTGGGGATATTTTCCTTATGTTTTGAAGTAAGGCCAGCCTGACAGTTCTTACTAGTTAGTATCTAATAGTACTTACATGTAGTCCAGTTGCTACCCTTAAGATTCCAGCTTCTGTCTGCTAGAATTTGTTACAGCTGTCAATAAGCGGTTCACAGTAATAATTACAGTGGTACCTGCTGACACCTCTGTGGTTAATGTTTGTCATTAGTTTTATTATAAATCCACGTTTATTAGGAGTTGTAACTTAGACAGACAACCTGCTCTTTAAGATGAACTTACCCATATAATTATAAACTATTGCTTTTTTTTAAAATCTGGTTATTTTTACATTTACAAAATGCCAAAAAAATAATGCTTAAGAATGGTTTACAATGTAAGAAAGCTTTTTATTATTTTTATTTGATCATTTAAAAATCCCATTGTTTGCCAGATTTCCACTCAGACCAACAATGAAACAAGTTAACACCTCAGATGCTGGGATATAATAAACTACAAAATGGTCTCAAACATATGTTCTTTCCAGAAGCCCGCAAATCTTGACAAATGCATGGAAATAATGCTTGGGAACATATTGTGCTACTGAAGACACTGAAACCCACCAAACAGGGAACTAACTTCTACCTTCAAATATAGCCCTGCAACTTGGTTAACTGCACTCTGATTAATGCTATAGTTTGGCCCAGAAAATTTAGGGCGAAGGCTGAACCTATTGGTTAACACATAACTGCACTGAGCTATTGCATGAGTCTCAACCCTCTTTTTTGTCTTACAAATCATTGGCCCTGAAATACCTATTAAAGGCATAAATGGGTAATTTATAGATGAAGGGCCAAATTCACCAGTGCTGGGTCTGGAAGATATAAATAACACTTTCTTGTTTCAGCATGGCTCGTTGCACTCTGCCTTCCTTTGGTGTTTTCTGATGATGGAAGGAGATTAATTTAATTTGTGGTTGGGATTTCATATGAGCCTTGCTGTTAGCGGCTGCTGAATCAGTGCATTCCTCTATTGCTCTGGCCATTTGCTGCTTGGCTGTATAGCACACGTTTTGGGCAGCTGTGGTACTTTCATTCCCCTGCTGCCACCACTGAACAGGGCACTGGGCTTTGGCATAGATTGGTAGAAGCTGACATAATTTTGGTTTGAATTTGTTCTGGAACCTTAGCTTAAATTTGTTCCCTCTGATCAGTACCACTGAGTGACTGACTGCCAGTCTGCATCTTCTAATCAAAACATCATAACGTTGCTTTAACACGTATATTTGTTTGGATTAATAATAAAGCACCAATTGTTGATCAGGAAAAAAAGTTTGCTCTAGGAACCAAAACTATGTTTTGATTGGGATGTATTGGAATATTTATGGAAAAATTCCTTTGACCAGAAAAAATACAATAAACTCCATGCTACATTAAACCTTAAAAAAACGGACCTGCTTTATGCTGCGTCCAAAAAGCAGATCATAATCCAACAGTATCTGGTCAGTGCTGATGGATAAACGGGCGCTGTACTTAAAACACAGGGGAGCCTTGAGGCAGGAAATTATATTCATTTATAGGTGCTGGTGCTTCATTAGGAAATCATAGCTGTGAACCAAGATTTTACTAGTTCTTGTAATGTAAAAATCTGATTACTTTGATTCTGTTCATTGGCAAACTTTTCAACTAGAGGCTTTAGCAATAAATTTGGACAAAACAGAGACTGTATAATTTCAAAGCCACTCCAGGAAAAAAAATGCATCTCTGCTGGTGTTTTATATTAAAATTTATACCATTTATCATTTCAATAGATTTTCTCTATGATTTGTCCATCATATCATGAGAACAAAATGCTATCTTTTCTCCTTGATATTGCACTTTTTAGAAAAGCAATCCCTTTTCTAGTTTTCTCCTTTGAAGTTGCTCATAGCATGAGAGGTCCAGCATCAAGAGTAATTAGACTAAACCATGCAGAAACCCCAGTGGAAGTCGGCAGGTAAAGATAGCATTAACTACTTAAAAACTAAAAAACAAATCAAAATGTTTTAGGGGAAAAGGAGGGTGAATGAATCCTTTTTGCATATACAAAAGCAAATAGGATCATTTTTTGCATATCATGTGCTCTGATATTCTTAATTAGCAAAAAAAATATTAGCATATTGGGATTAATTTTTCTGGAATATACAAAAACCTATCCTTAGAGGGAGTAAATGTCATAAGATTACTGTAATAATTGCCATGCTGCTGGGATGTTACAGAGCAGCAAGTTACATGCAGTTTCAGTGTATGCACGTACATGTATTTCTGTGGATTTTTTCTCCAAATTAGGAAGAGACTTTATACCAGGATATGGTCCCTACCTTTCTGCAGGGAATTACCTTTTTTGTGTTATGTGTAAACTTTTAATTGACTTCAGAAATCGAATTTATAGAGTAATTTGATGTTGTATGTAGCACATTTTTCTCAACCAGTGGTCTTTCAAAGAACGAGCAAATAACAAACGAATGGGCCCTACTGCTGGTCTGTAAAGAGAAATGCTATATTTCTGTCAGCTCCATGAGGAGATGCCTGTGCTGTGTTTCCAGTTACTTAACTGCATTATAAAAAAGAAGTAATATAAATATCTCCCTAGATTAATTCTGTACCTTAAAAAGTGCTCTATTTTGTCGTGGATGAAAAGGAAGCTGGCCACAGAAGTATGTTTTGCAGTGTAAACTTAGGTATATCACTTAAAAACCTTGAATTAACCCATGAATGTATCCATCATTTTGAGTTACTATATGGGCACAGCTTAACTCACTGAAATTAGGTACTTTCAATTGCACATTAGTAAAATGCCTGAAAATCCTAAATTTCATGTGAATAGCTCAGTTTGGGGCAATCCGTATAAAAAGACTCTGTCCACACTGTGAACTTGAACCTTTTGCTAATATCTGACAGAAGATGCAGAGCTGTATACATTCTGGCCTCCATTTTAGAGGGATACATAAACTAGCAGTAGTATAAATACCTTGTACAGTCTGTCTCCATCACATTCTTTTTAGCCCCAGTGTGTTGGTATTCATTATCCTAGATGAGAACAATAATTATGTTTTAATGGAATTTGCAAAATAATATGCCAGCCAGACTGAGACTATTTATCAGACCACATAGTTATATTTCAGAGTTTTTGTACTTGCAAATAATTCAGAACAATGTTTTTTCTATATTTCTGTATGTGTGGTTTATTTTTTAAATAGAAGAAAAATAAAACAAAGAAAGTGAGAGCTACAAGAATGATTAGACCTCTTGTAATAGGTTTCTTAGTGCTGCTGCTGACCTTCTCAGTCTGTTCTGCTTTGCTTTAGTATAACTGCCCCAGGAGGTGATTATCAGACAGTGGTGACTGTTTTGTCAGGTCTTATTGTTTAATTAGATCACAGTTTATGTCAAAATTCTAAAATTCTTTTGGCACATGCCAAAATTTTCACAGTTTTTAGTTAAGTTGAAATATTTCTCAAACAATAATCAGCAGCTACAAGAGAGTAGACAAATTTATTTAATATTTATAGTGTACACTTAAAAATTTGTGCCTTGGGTTAAATTCATTGAAATGTGACATCTTATTTTCAAGAGTATCCTATGGGTAATCCCTTTAAACTTGTATTGACATTAATATAAGCCTTAAGAAATAGGCCTGCTGAGGCTCACATTATCTATAGGAAAGCGTATTTTTTCTACTGATCTTGCTTCCATTCATCTGAAATGGTATAAGATTGTGTAAACAAACCCTCATCTACAGAATTAGAAAATGATGGTTTTGATATGCCTTTCCTGCCCTTGAAATTACATGCCTGGAGTATGCAATCTGTGTGTACCATGTTCCACTAATGGTAAGATAATTGGTACAAATTTCTAGGCTAGAGGTAAATGCCAAACTGCCGTACCACAAATTTGTTGCTTGGATGATCTACTTGTTTCTGAATGAGGCAACCTACCTATCTTTTTCTTTGCCATATTTAATTAGAACCTATTATAGAAATTAGTGGA